TGCCCAGGCGGGTCTCGAACCCGTGGGCTCAGGCAATCCACTCACCTCAGCCTCCCAAAGGCGCGGGATTACAGGCTGAGCCACCGAGCCCGGCTGGGCCATGTTTTCTTAAGCTTTGGCCCCCTCTCCTTCCTTGGGGAGGTGAATCTCCTCTTTTTCTCTCTCTCACCAATTTAGTTTTTAAATAAACTATATTTTCTAATCTAAAACAAAACAAAAATGAGCCTGGAACATCTTGCCATGCTAGAAAATTAGGAAGTGCTCAGAAAATTAGGGGGCTTGTTCAAAGGACACAGAAGCCAAGCCAAAGAAGCTCCAGTGGCCAAAGGTGGTATACCATTTGAGCAACAAAATAAATAATAAAAACACTTGAAAGCCGGGCTCAGTGGCTAAGCCTGTAATCCCACCCTTTGAGAGGCTGAGGTGAGTAGATTGCCTGAGGCCACGGGTTCGAAACCTGCCTGGGCGGTAAGACCTCATCTCTACAATAAATCAAAAAATCAGCCAGGCGTGGTAGCGCATGCCTGTAATTCCGGCGACTTGGAAGGCTGAGGCGGAAGGATCGGCTGAGGCGGAAGGATCGCTGGAGCCCAGCAGGTCGAGGCTGCGGTGGCCGGAAGCAGCCACTGCACTCCAGTCTGGACAACAGAGTGAGACTCCAACTCAAAAAAAAAAAAAATTTAATTAAAATAAAAATAAAAATACTTGATAATAACCTGTCGAATAAAATAAATATCTTGAGTCCATACCCATGTATATTTTTAAATGATTAAATAATCATGGAAAAGATACAGTTCCTCCCAATTCCAAGAACAAATGAACAACAAAAGATTTACTAACAAAGACTGGAAAGTAATTTGGGGTGATAAAAATATTTAAACGTTTACTGTTCATTGGCATTATAGGAATTAACTATAATAATATTTTTAAGGTATGTGATTTACAAATTCTAAATGTCTAGATCATTAACACAATGGGGGACCTCAAAACACCCAGAATTTATTTATAAAAAATTGCATATTTATTCTTACATGTTTAAACTTCAGTCACCTTCGAAGTACATTTCGTTTGATGTAATACACCTAGTGAAACACCCTGGTGAGACACTTTTTCCACGGCTCAAAACAGTTTTTGAACTTATCAGTTTTGATGCCTTTCAGTGCTTTTGCTGTTTTTTTTTGTTTTTTCCCTTCCATATCAGCAAAACATTCTCTCTGCGAATATTTTTCATCAGGGGAAACAAAAATAATTTGCTTGGGGCAAGATCAAGTGAATAAGAGGGTGGGGCAAGGGGGGGGTCAAGCCATTTTTGGTCAAAAACTGCCGAACAGGTTGGGCTCCGTGGCTCTGCCTGTAATTCCAGCACTTTGGAAGGCCAAGGCAAGTGGATTACCTGAGCCTGCAGGTTCAAGACTAGCCTGGCAACTTGGTGAGACCTCCTCTCTACAATAAATAAAAGATTAGCCGGGAGTGGTAGCGCACACCTGTAGCTCCGGTTACTTGAAAGGCTGAAGCAGAAGGATAGCTGGAGCCCACCAGGTCGATGCTGGGGTGGCCGTGAGTGTGCAACTGCCCTCCAGCCTGGACGATAGAACGAGACTCCAACTCACAAAAAAACCCACAACAACCAAAAACCAAAAAACCAAAAAAACAAAAAACTACGAACACTCAGCATGCGGTGTAAATGTGCTCATAAATTACCCATCATGAAATGGCAATGCATTGAAAGAATCTCGCAAAAAATTCAGTGAAGCCAAATGCAGCCTCTCACAATGCTAGCTGGTAGGTACACTGATGCCATACTACAGCACCATGCCATACTACAGCAGATTAGCCATCTCAAACTTCCCTTTTTTCTTCTTTTTTTTTTTTGAGTTGGAGTCTCATTCTGTCTGGGCTCCGGTGATCCTTCCGCCTTAGCCTTCCAAGTAGCTGGAACTACAGGCATGCGCTACCACGCCTGGCTAATTTTTTGGTTTATTGTAGAGATGAGGTCTCGCCAAGTTGCCCAACTGGGTCTCAAACCCGCGGGCTCAGGCAATCCACTCACCTCAGCCTCCCAAAGGCACGGGATTACAGGCTGAGCCACCGAGCCCGGCTTACTGTTTTTTTATATAGCAGAATTAAGCTGGCCTTCCAGGACTGGGAGTGCACCGCAGATTCAGCAACACCCCTTTAGCTGACCCTCCAGAAAGTCACCCACAGAGGACCCAGAGCCCACAGAGGACCCAGAACAAATTTCTCAAGCCCTGCTCCGGAGACTAGAGACTGACTGATCCAGGCATGGCAAAAGATTGAGGATTCAGCTTAAGAACTCAGTGGAGATCACTAATAAGCCATTGTTCTGCTTTGTCAACCTTTATCTATGCTAAACTGTTTGTCATTTTAATTGCTGTAAAACTAACTTTATTTGCTGTAGAATTAACAGAGTTGTCCCCCATTGAACATGTTAGAAAAGGGTCTCACTAGCATTTCCATTCTTTCTTATAATAGGAAGTGTTCTTGTGCTTTTATGTATTTCTGCCTAATGTGGGTGTTTATCGCTTTCCTCACACACCCAGCATGTACCTGTAAAGAAACGATCTGGCCAGACGTAAGAGTTTTCCATCGTTATTCATCCCAGCCAGAAGTTTGTTCTGGTGGCCAACAAGGCCTATTTGGTATTGGGCATCTGCTTATGTAACTAAATCTTCTCAATGTATTAAAGGGCTATTTTGGACATATGGAAAGGTTGCATATGCCCAGCTCCCAGTTTTATGAAAAGGCACATGTACCATAGGAATAATCCAATCAGGATTTTTCCTTCTGCCTAACCCAAGGGGGGATGAACTAGGCATTCCCCTTTATGAAAGCCTCAAAACACGAGATGCTCAATCCCTCGACCAAGTTCCTAATATAGGAGGGACCCAGGTTTGGAAAAATGACAAATGGCCACCCCAGAGAATTATAAATACTTATGGCCCAGCCACATGGGCACAAGATGGGAGTCGGAAATACCGCACACCTATATATATGCTAAATCACATGATCAAACTGTCTTGGAAGTTATAACTAATCAGACAGCCATGGCTTTTGAGCTTGTTACTCAACAACAAGACCAAATGCGTGCAGCTATTTATCAAAACCGCTTAGCTTTGGACTACCTGCTAGCTGAAGGAGGAGTATGTGGCAAATTTAATAGCTCTGACTGTTGTTTGCAAATAGATGATAATAGTAAAGTAATAACTGATATAGCCACCAATATTAGAAAGCTTGCCCAAGTCCCGGTGCAGAAATGACAAGGCATAAAAATTGGCAATTGGTTTGAAAACATATTCTCGGGTCTGGGAGGATTTAAGTATATTATTGGATCTGTAGTTCTATTGGTGGGATCCTGTCTTATTCTCCCTTGCATAGGTCCAATAATTATGAACGCCATTTCTAAGTTTGTGGAAACAGTTGTTGAACGAAAAACTGTGGTCCGTATAATGTTAATGCACCAGATTAAGAATGATGATGCTCTAGACCCATAAAAGGTCGAGCATCAAAAGGGGGAATGTGGCAAAGAGGGAGCTGGTAGCAGTTAAAAGTATTCCTTTTGAAAATCAATCAATAAGCTCTGAAAACCCACCAGACCAGTTTTGTTTGAAAAAGCCAAATGGCCAAAGACTGAGGGCTCTCAAGGAAATGCAAAAGAGTACCTAATTCACAACCTTACCCGACTGCTCTCCCTATCAGTTTATAGCCCCTACTCACCCTGCATTTCCTGGAGACCATTTGTTCTTTGAAAGATCTGATTTTGCCGAGTACAACCTTATAAATCCAAAGAAAATGTGTAATCGCTCAACATGACCCTCCTCCCTTAAGACCCCTCTTCTTCCGTTCTGGGGGGCTCGGCCTGGGAGCATCAGCCTGCTGAGTCCGCCGGCATAATAAAGTTGCCATTTCCTATAATAGTCTCGGTGTCATGACCTCTCTGTCTTCCTGCTACACAGCTACTTGGAAGGCTGAGGCGGAAGGATCACCTGAGCCCAGCAGGTGGAGGCTGCAGTGGCTGCGAGTGTGCCACTGCACTCCAGCCTGGGTGGAGAGTGAGACTCTGACTCAAAAAAAAAAAGAGGAAACATTGAGCCTGGGCACAGTGGCTGACACCTATAATCCCAGCACTTTGGGAGTCTGAGGTGGAAGGACTGCTTGAGCTCAGGAGTATGAGATCAACCTGGGCAATATAGTGAGACTTCATCTCTATTAAAAAAATGTTTAAAAAAAAAGAATAAGCATTAGTTTAATGTACCTATATAAGGACATCATAGTATAATCCTCCTATGCATTTTACAAGCAAGGCTTTCTAAAAAAAAGTTTGAATATATTTCAGCAATTATAATGTCTTGTCAAGTGCATTGTAACAGTCCATGTTGATTAACTTAATGTCTTCCTCCATACCTGAAAAACATTCTAAATGAGATGAAATGAATAATCTGCAATGACAACTAGATACAGCACCTTCAATATTATATTCAGCAATCTAGCCAAACAGTCTGATTCACTTACCGAATTAGCAATGGCATGAATGACTCTAGAAAATCCCACAGCGTCATTGAGTTCCTCCTAATTAAAAAAATATATATATATAATCGATACACATGTATTCCTTATCTAAATGGACTAAAAACCTACCCAAAAAAAGACATTGAAATTTTGTATCACGTCAGATAGCTTTAATCTCATGTGCTTTGCACCTATCATCCCAAACAACTCTATCTAAAATTATCTATGTACAGACTTTTCTTCTGTTTTAGAAAGTGGAATAAACAAGAGGAAAATTATTCATTTGTTACTGAAAGATCAGTGCCTAGGCTTTACCCAGCACTTCACATAATTTGTTGAAATTGCTCACCTATCAAGGTATCTGAAAAACAAATGTTAAAAAGTTGTCACCTGCTGGCTAAGCTCAATAAATGCATTAAATTCCGTGGAAATCCATCCAGCAGTGACCAACCAAGTATTCTCATAATTCCTCACTTTTTTCCTTGACAATGCATTTTTGCAGAGACTCATCCTTACCCATCTTCTTCTCTCCTATTTTCTCCCAGTGTTTAAATAGGTTTAATGTCTCTCCTATCTTAAAAACTCTTCCTTAGCTCTAAGCTCCATCCAACTACAGACCCTTCTCCTTGTCTCATCACAGCTAATTTGCTTGAAGTACTTCTCTCTATTCACAAGCACCAGTTTAACTCCCAGGTGCTCCCTACACTCTGCTCTCTGGCTTCACCCTCACTGAAATTGCTCACCTCCTTAAAACTAATCCCAAGGCTAACAAGCATTTGCAAGAAGGTAGAGAAACTGGAACCCTCATGCACTAATGGTGGAATGTAAAATGGTACAGCTGCTAAGGAAAACAGTATGAAGTTTCCTCAAAAAAAAAAAAAAAAAAAAAATATTACATCATCCAGCAATTCCACTTCTGGGTATATATAGCCAAAAGAAGTGAGAGCAGGTATTTAGATATTTGCACACACACATTCATAAAAGCATTATTCACAACAGCCAAGAGTAACCCAAGGGTCCACAGACATATGAATAAATAAAATGTGGTATATCCATATAACAGAATATTATTCAGACTTAAAAAGGAAAAAATTATGACATATATTCAGACTTAAAAGGAAAAAAATTATGACATATGCTATAATATAGTATACCTTAAAGACACTATAGTAAGAGAAATAAGTCAGCCACAAAAGGACAAATACTGTATGATTCCTCTTGTATGAGATACTTAAGGTAGTCAAAATAATATGACAGAAAGTAGAATAGTGGGTCAGGCATGCTGGCTCATGCCTGTAATCCCAGTGCTTTGAAAGGTCAAGGTGGAAAGATATTTGAGGCTAGGAGCTCAAGAAAATAGAATGGTAGTTGTCAGGAGCTGGGTAGATGGAGTTATTTAATGAGTATAGAGATCCAATTTTGAAAGACAAAGAGAATTCTGGAGATGGATGGTAGTGATGACTGCACAGCAATGTGAATGTACTTGATGCCACTGAACTGAACACTTAAAAATAGTTAAAATGATCAATTTTAAGCTGGGCATGGTGGCTCACACTTGTAACCCCAATACTTTGGGAAGTGGAGGCAAGAGGATTGCCTGAGCCCAGGGATTCAACACCAGCTGGGCAACTTGGCGAGATCTCTAACATAAAGCAAAAAATTAGCTGAGCATGGTAGCACACGCCTGTGGTTCCAGCCACTTAGAAGGCTGAGGCAGAAGGATTTCCTGAGCCCAACAGGTTTGAGGCTGCAGTGGTCATGAGCATGCCACTGCATGCCAGCCTGAGCAACAGAGTAAGTTCCAATTTAAAAAAAAAAAACATTTTTTTTAAGGGCTGGGTGTGGTTGCTCATGCCTGTAATCTCAACCCTTTTGGAAGAGGTGAGCCCAGGGGTTCAAGACCAGCCTGGGCAACTTGGCGAGATCTCATCTCCACAATAAATTTAAAACATTTGAGGCGGAAGGATCGTCTGAGTCCAGCAGATCCCACCGCACTCTAGCCTAGGCGACAGTGTGAGACTCTGGCTCAAAAAAAAAAAAAAGAATAAATTTTATGCTATGTGTTCTTTAACACAATTAAAACTTTAAAAACTGGCCATTGCTTTGCTAAACTCTGGGGTGTCCATGTTGCTGCTCTCTGAGCTACTGTCATCATGTTTCTTAGCTTTGGTCCCTTTCCCTACCTTGGGGAGGTGAATCTCTCTGTATATAAATATCCTCTCAGCCGGGCTCGGTGGCTCAGCCTGTAATCCCGCGCCCTTGGGAGGCAGAGGTGAGTGAATAGCCTGAGCCTGCGGGTTCAAGACCCGCCTGGGCAGCGAGACCTCATCTCTACAATAAATCAAAAAATCAGCCGGGCATGGTAGCGCATGCCTGTAATTCCGGTTACTTGGAAGGCTGAGGCGGAAGGATCGCTGGAGCCCAGCAGGTTGAGGCTGCGGTGGCCGGGAGTGACCACTACACTCCAGTCTGGATGACAGAGTGAGACTCCAACTCAAAAAAAAAAACAAAACAAGACAAAATAAAATCCTCTCTCTTCTCGCTCTTTAATTTACTTTCTAAATAATTGTATTTTACAATCTAAAAAAAAGCTTAAAAATTTTAAAGTATATTTTTAAAATAGCAAATTATGCCAGGCACGGTGGCTCAAGCCTGTAATCCCAGCTCTTTGAGAGGCTGAGGCAAGAGGATTGCCTGAGTACAAGGGGTTCGAGACCAACCTGGGCAACTTGGCGAGAACTTGTTTCTACAATACATCAAAAAATTAGTTGGGTGTGGTGGCGCGTGTCTATAGCTCCAGCTACTTGGAAGGCTGAGGTGGAAGGATTGCCTGAGCCTAGTAGGCCAAGGCTGTGGCAGCAGTGAGTGTGCCACTGCACTCCAGCCTGGACGACAGAGTAGGACTACAACTCAAAAAAAAAAAAAGAAGCCAGGCTCGGTGACTCAGCCTGTAATCCCGCGCCTTTGGGAGGCTGAGGTGAGTGGATTGCCTGAGCCCGCGGGCTCGAGACCCGCCTGGGCAACGAGACCTCATCTCTACAATAAAACAAAAAATCAGCCGGGCATGGTAGCGCATGCCTGTAATTCCGGCTACTTGGAAGGCTGAGGCGGAAGGATCGCCGGAACCCAGCAAGTCGAGGCTGCGGTGGCCAGGAGTGGCCACTGCACTCCAGTCTGGACAACAGAGTGAGACTCCAACTCAAAAAAAAAAAAAATAGAGAGAGAGAAATTACTCCCAAGGTTAAATCCAATGGCTACGTCTCCATTCTTACCCTTACCACCTAAAAACATCTGACTCTATTGACCACCCTTTTCTTCAAACACTCTCTTTCCTTGGCTGTGTGTCACGGTAATCTCCTGGGACATTTCTTCTGCCTCTGCTTATCTTTAAATGCTAGTGATCCTCAGGATTCTACCCTAGATCCTTTTCTCACTCTTCATGCATCCTGTAGGTACTCTGATCCAGTCCCTGTCTCTCAATCAGTAACAGTCATGTCTAGCACACATCTCTCTCTTACACTCAAGGTTGACAAATCTGTCAACAGAACATCTACTCTTGAATGTCCCAAGACACCTAAAACCTCATCAGGTCAAAACAGAATTCTTTTCTAGGTTTTTCTATCAGTTCAATTCTTGTCTGATTAAAAAACTAGTCATTGCCGGGCTCGGTGACTCAGCCTGTAATCCCACGCCTTTGGGAGGCTGAGGTGAGTGGATTGCCTGAGCCCGCGGGTTCGAGACCCGCCTGGGCAGCAAGACCTCATCTCTACAATAAATCAAAAATCAGCCGGGCGTGGTAGCACACGCCTGTAATTCCAGCTACTTGGAAGGCTGAGGCAGAAGGATCGCCAGAGCCCAGCGGGTCGAGGCTGCGGTGGCCGGGAGTGGCCACTGCACTCCAGTCTGGGCGACGGAGTGAAACTCCAACTCAAAAAAAAAACAAAAAACAAACTAGTCATTAAATTGAATCCAATATATGATATAGAAATATATAGACAGAAATAAATTAATAACTATGTTGCCATTTCTCACCCAAAAGAAATTAACATAGACCAATTACCTGTTCTTTAGCGTGTTTCTGCTGCTCTCTCCTTTTGCGTTCTTCTTCATCTACTTTGCTGATAACTATGTATCGCTCCTTCTAAAAGACATAAACCAGATATGCAATTTTCTAGAAATAACTTGACCCCAAAAATTCAGAATTCTGCTACCATTAGAAGTTATTGGTTGGCCATGTGCTCTCTGAGTTATAGATGCCATGTTTTCTTACCTTTGGGCCCCTCCCCGACCTTGGGGAGGTGAATCTCCTCTTCCTCTCCCCCCCCACCTCCCTCCCTTCCCCTCCCCTCTCTCTGCCTCTCTAATTTGCTTTCTAAATAAACTGTGTTTTCCAATCTAAAGAAAAAGAAGAAGAAGAAGAAGTTATTGATGAGACACAGTGGCTTAGGCCCATACTTTGGTAGGCTATGGCAGGGTCATGATCACGCGACTGCACTGCAGCCTGGGCAAGAGAGTGAGACTCCAACTCAAAAAAAAGTTGTTAACATTTTTATCATCAACACAGTCTTTCATGGACCAAACACAACAGAAAGTATTTTGAAATGCCAACATGAGTTGATGCATTACAAAACTTTGCTTCTGTTTCCATGACATTTTCCCATGTCAACCCAACAGATGTCAGTTAAAAATATAAACAGATTGTGAGAATAAGATATTCTCTATGACAAACACTAAAAAGTTATATTGCATTTGAACATGAATTTCTAAATAATAAGCTTTAGAGTAAAATTTCCATATGTTTTATTAACATAAGAACAAAATCTGGATTTTCTGGTAACGTGCCAGGTAACTAAATGCTTTCTTTCTCATACAATGCTTTCTTTTTAAGTTGGGTCTCAATTTGTTGCCCAGAATGGAGTGCAGTGGCAAGATCATAGCTCAACACAGCCACAAGCTCCCAGGTTCAAGTGATCCTCCTGCCTCAGTTCCCGGAGTAGGAGGGACTATACAACAGTGCATAACTGTGCCTGGCTAATTTTTTTTTTTTAATTTTGCAGAGATGAGATTTCACTATGTTGTCCAGGCCTATCTTGAACTTCTCGCCTCAAGAGATCCTTCCACCTCAGTCTTCCAAGAAGCTGGGATTACAGGCATGAGCCATAGTGCCCAGTTCATACATTGTATTTTGTATTCATTAAACACACAACAAAATTTTCTATGTCAAAGTTGGAGATGTATCTTCTAGCAAGATTGCTTTTTATTTATTTAGTCTCTAATTCTGTATCTGACTTAAGAGCAACAACCACAGGGTAAGACTGAAAAATCTTACAAAAGGAACCTACCTCCAGTTACTCATTACCCATCCCAGTTCTATCAGTGCACCTTAAGAGTACATGACAATAGCTATGCATATGACCCATATTCTAAAATTTAATTTCACCTGCCCACAAGACAGTCATTTTTTCACACATACCATTACAGCTTTCTGCTATAATAAGAATATGAACTAATAGTTGTATACGTTCAAGTTTATAAAGCATGTTCACTTCTGTTTACCCACAAGATCACTATAAAAAGGTTGTGTGAGACAAGTATAAATCATTACCATGCTAATTCCCAACGTACAAACGAGAAAAATGAGGCTTAGAGAGGTTAAATGACTTGCCCAAGGTTACTCAACTCATAAACAGTACAGCCAAGGTATAAATTCTGACTTTTAACATATCAGTGTAACACTGGATATGTTTAATGTTAGCTCTGGATAACTCCTGGGGTTACCTTTTCCGTTTCTAAAGTCTCAACATGAATGCCTTTGGGATACCTAAAGAAGAGAAGGAAAACACAGTATCAAAAGATGAGTCAATGACAGCTAAAACCCAAAGTGTTTTAAAAGCAACTCTCTAGCTTTTAACTAAGTGAAATGTGTTTCCAAACAGGAAATAATTATCTCTACAATGAGGCTTTACAAGCCTATTTCATAGTTTGTCAGTTGCTAAATGTTTCCCCACCCCTGCTCTTAAACACAAAGGAAAGTAGCTGATTTCCAATTAACTTTCTTAGGACTTAGTCATTTTTCTAAAATGTGTTGTATCTCAAAATACAGTCAATTCATTACCAAGGAGTGAAATCTTGCTTCCAAATATAATAATGCCTATTTGTAACAGAAATTGTGAAGATCTTTTTTAGAATGCAGGGGGCTTACAAAAGGGACGTTTGATGCGAGGTGGAGATGAGAGATTGCCTGAACCCACGGGTTCAAGACCAGCCTGGACAAAATGGCGAACCTCATTTCTTAAAAAAAAGAAGACAGGCTCGGTGGCTCAGCCTGTAATCCTGCGCTTTGGGAGGCTGAGGTGAGTGGACTGCCTGAGCCCGCGGGTTCGAGACCCGCCTGGGCAACTTGGTGAGACCTCATCTCTACAATAAATCAAAAAATCAGCCGGGCATGGTAGCGCGTGCCTGTAATTCCAGCTACTCGGAAGGCTGAGGCGGAAGGATCACCGGAGCCCAGCGGGTTGAGGTTGCGGTGGCCGGGAGCGGCCACTGCATTCCAGTCTGGGCGACAGAATGAGACTCCAACTCAAAAAAAAAAAAAGAAGAAAAAAGGGAAGTTTGAGATGGCTAATCTGCTGTAGTATGGCATGGTGGTTTGCATCAGTCTAGGAGGAAAGGGGTGCAGAAGGTACATGGGGTAAGTTACAAGGGTAACATGACAGGAAAGGAGCCTGGGTAAACTAAACAGTAGCCCTTTCCTGTTTTGTTCAAAGTATATGTCCAGTATACACATCAATGGTCAATCCTAATAAAAGAATAAGGACCCCAAAGTCAGATACAAATGTCCATCTGTCTAAGGCCAACATTCAATTTGAGTTAGAGACCAACTTGCAAATACAATGAAATCAAGGGAAACACCCAGAGAAAAATACAAAAAATTTTGGATGTCATTTCAGGGGACACAAAGACCTCCTGAAACACATCTACTGTCTAATCCCAAGTTAAGAATACCCACTTTAAACCGGACTCGGTGACTCAGCCTGTAATCCCACGCCTTTGGCAGGCTGAGGTGAGTGGATTGCCTGAGGCCGCGGGTTCGAGACCCGCCTGGGCAGCAAGACCTCATCTCTACAATAAATCAAAAAATCAGCCGGGCATGGTAGCGCGTGCCTGTAATTCCGGCTACTCGGAAGGCTGAGGCGGAAGGATCCCTGGAGCCCAGCAGGCGAGGCTGCGGTGGCCGGGAGTGGCCACCACACTCCAGTCTGGGCGACCGAGTGAGACTCCAGCTCAAAAAAAAAAACAAAACAACAACAAAAAAAAGAATATCCACTTCAGAAAAAGCCTTGATCTGGGTATTTCCTAGGTCTTAAAACCAAATCTTTATCATATACATTCAAAAGACAAAAACGTTACATATCCAGAGCTTAATAGATGATGCCAAAGTGGTAATTATTTTAAAAGGATTTAAAGCATCTATTAGGAAGTGGTAACAAAGAAAATAAATTAAGTGGGTATTCAATTTAAGAAATAAATTAAGTGGGTTTTCAATTTAGTACTGCCGAATTTCAAAAAGGAAATGAGAGTTAAGAGATAGTATTTAGTTTTAAAAGCCTGGGTCCCTCACAGAACTCTTGTGTATAATATAAACACTTACTTCCAGTTCAAAGTCTGATAAATTAGTTTTCTTTGGAACCTATAAAAGCAAAAGAAAAGGTATTGATTTCAGCTTATTAAAAGTATATACCCTTGCTGATTAAGCCTTGTTTGGGAAAGATTCAATTGTAAAAAGAGACTTCATTAGAACTGACAGGTAATATGCAAACAAAAATAGGCAGGATATTTGAATGGGGAGGATTCCTTATCACTTGACTTTTCAAAATTTCCTTTATAATACTATTACACTGCTTTTATAAAAGAGGTAGAAGCTCTTGTTTAATAAAAATATTACTTCCTGCATCTGTATAAAGAGAGTTTAAAGTAGACAGATGCATTAAAACACTTTTATGAAGCTCATCACAACAAAGTCAAGGAGAAAAAAAGATGTTCAAGTTAATGACTCTTTGAAATGCTGACTTTTTTTAATGCAGAGAGAAATTAAAAGAATAGAAGTAGCCTGACAGTGAATTTTTTTCTTCAGAAGCCTTCATGCATTAAGCACTCCTCAAGGCCAAAGTAATTATGCCACTCGTAGGCATAACTTAAAGTCAAAGTTGCATAATAGATTTTTCTGCTCCAGTACAGGACAAAGCATTTGTTCAGAGACTCAACATACAGTCATTTCCACTGTGTAACACTAAAGTTAGTGCTTAAGTCTTGAGAACATAACTATAATAAAAGGAGTATTTATAAAAGTGTTTTTAAAAGATCAAATACATCAAATGCCAGAAATCATCGACTTTTCCAAAAAAAGACATATGAAAATGTTCAGGATGACTAACCCAGTACACGGCTCTAAATCCAAGTTCTTGTTTTCTTCATTTTGTAATAAATCTTCTATTTTATCTCTGAGAAATCATAATAGACCATGAACATTAGTACCTTTAAGGAATGAAGTTATTAACCAACAGAATAATCATACTCAAAAACATTCTAAATACAAGAACAAGTGACAATGCAATTCTACCAAATCATGTTATAACATTTTAG